GTAATTAGTTACTGATTACTTTTTTCAAGTAACTTGACCAACACTGGTTATGAAGACGTCTATATACACTGACACCAGCCTCCGTTCACTCATTGTGAAGTTCTTGAGTCAACTTTTCCTGACAGTCCTCTCAAGTCTGTGACCATGCTCTTTCTCTCCCTCATACTTTTCCCTTCAGCCAACTTTATTATTTACACACCTCCATACAGCCAGCCTTTTCAGCAAGACCTGTGGCTTATCCTCCTATTAGAGAACATCAATGATAGACATCTAAACAACCATCAAATAAGCAGTCTTCCCTCTGATTGGGTTTGCAGGTATTGACCAAGGTCTGCATACCAAGACAAACATTTATGTGAATAGTTTGTTCTTTAAATTTAAACTGGCTTTCTGATTTTCATGAGCTATAGGCATGGTAATCACAACAACAAAAAAGTCATAATGCTTGCATCATGTATAATGAATATAAAATATAGTTAAGTTTGTAGTTAAAGGTTTTATAGTTAAAAACAAAAAACAAAAAAAAACTGTATTTACAATAAAGGACAAAGCGTCACATTTTTTGACAATGAAATCATTAAGAGAAAATATCCTACTTATACTGTTAAATATGCCCCCACAACAATTTCCATTAATCTTTGGACCCTTTTCTGTATTGTACAGCATGTATTTTGTTTGGGTTTTTTGTTGAGAAAAATAAAAATTTATCCCATTACTTGCACTACATTCTTAAACTTTCAGCTTTCCAAAACTGCATTCTATTTAAAAAAAAAAAAAAAAAAAAAAAAAAAAAAAAAAAAAAAAGGGATGAAACTTTAATTTTTTTTTTTTTTTTTTTTTTTTTTTTTTAAATACTCAACATTTCAAGTCACTGTTCACATACAGGACCCCATCCCTACACTCTTGCCAGGACTACTAACTTAACACCTGCTTTACTGAAGCAAAAAAATTAAATTAAATTAAATGTGTTCAGATTTCTTCAGGCTACTTAAGACAGAATATATCTGATATTGTTACACTATTCAGCTGCATCCAAGGACAGGAACAGCTTACATCATTAATATTTTACCAAGTGCCATCATCCTGTAATCTGATTTACTTTGGTAAAGAATGCCATCTAGTGACAATAAATGCATATGTAGGCTTTGGTGTCAAGTGCAGATCTAGCTCTGTGGGCATAAATCCACCTTTTAATCAATATTACAGGCTAAATGTCAATGACGAGCGCACACAGTTATGTTATAGGCATGAAATACCCATTTATTACTTTGCACATTAACACAAGAATTCCCTGCAGGCGAACAAAAACAACAAAAACCAATTCAACATGTCACATAATAGCAATAACAGCAAGTGAATGGCCTTCTGAGGGCAGGGACAGAACGAACCCTGCCCCTTGACAACTTAAAGGATTCCGTTCATTCACAGAATCTGAACCACCAGATTCCCAGAATCGGATCGCTCAGATTCTGTGATTCTATTGCTATTAGACAATCACACAGTTTCAGAGACCACTAGCAGGAAAAAATAAAAATAAAAAAATAAAGCAGAGCTATAACAAACCTAAAAAAAGAAAAAAAGTGGGGAAAAGGGTAACAAAAAAGGGGGAAAAAGACATAATACACAATGTCAAATTACAAATCTGTCAAGATATAATATATCAAAGTGAGAGGAATTTAAAAATAATTCATGCTCTTTCCATTGGGGCACAGAAAGAATTATGGATCTTGTTTTAAAAAGGTTAAAAAGAGGTAATCCTGCTCCGTCAATGCCTTGGGGACCTCTACACAAAAGAGGAAGTATATCTGTGAAGGGTCAGCGGAGTTGCCATGGAAACAGGAGAGCGCCCACCAATAGGCGTGGCAATAGGTACAAACCAGGAGCGAGAAGACGAAATGGATGCTCTCTACAGTAACCTGGCTCAGAGGAAAGGAGTTCGGTCTTTAACGGGTCCACGTTTGAAGAAAGTACCTCGTTTGATTTGGAACACGACGCAAAGCGCAGAAGCCCTCACCTCAAAAAACAGCTTGTACCTCCCAAATTACTGACATTTGTGTAGGAATCTTTAAAATACATCTTAAAGAGAGACAGACAAATATTGCTAGCCTAAAACAGTCCCACTAAATTGATAAACATTTACCCCGCCCCAAAAAAAGGAAGTTTATATTTTTTTTCTCTCATAATAAATATGACTCCAAAAAGGTTTTCAGTTTTTTTGTTTTTTGTCATTTTGTTTTTTTTAAAGGACAATACTCTGGCATGCAGGCGAGCAAAGTCTACATTTTGTTACTTGAAAGAAAGAGTCTAAAGCCTACACAACTACTCCACCGAATGCACATTCCCACTGATTGATACAAGCAAATCATGTTTACAAAAAAAAAAAAAAAAAAAAAAAGTAAAATTAAAAAATAAAAATACAGAGATTTGATAGCGAGTGACCAACAATCACAATGAGTAGAATTATATCTTTGTTTTTAACCATATTTGAAAACGTGGGTTAATATTGCTTTGTAATATTTATAAACAGGGAGTGAGCCTTTATCTGACTGGATTTTAATGACCAAATATTGTGATTTAAACATTCCCCCTTGGAGATCCCAGATGAATATTTAATCAAATCTGCTAACAGAACTGCACACTGTAAAAACTAATCTGCATCATTTAAAACTTATTGCAAGCAACGCCTGGAAAACATCCTCCCCAGTCCCCCTTCTGCTACTCATTTCCTGCTTCTCCACTTGATGCCCACGCCCACATCAAGACGGAGCTCAAACTCATTCATAGTAAACCTGCTGCTTTACGGGTGGTTTATTACAAAAGGGTTTTCACTGAGCTGTCCCTCTCGATGAGGCGTGCACATTTCTCCCAAAGCCTGCTGTCCTGCATTATTATCCAAAAGCAACATTAGGGGGAGCCAATTGTACGTCTGTCACCATTAGTTTCCATGTTAAAAAAGGGAGGGCGGGGGGGGGGGCAGCGCTTCTATTTACCGTCAATTTAATCCAGTGTTGAAATGCATAAAAAGCACAAAAAAATACTGTTAAATAGAGAATTGTAAGATGGATATAACTGACATACACGCCGAGTAAAATTGTTTTTAAAAAAAAAAAAAACAATTCAATTCAATTCATTGCCTACCATAACAACATTTCCCGATTGTCTCCATCTATCGGATCAAAACCAGCCAACACCCGGTGCGGGACGTACACCACCATGGCAGACCTGTTACACCAGTCTGACTGCTACAAGACAACTAGAGTCGGCCACCGTTACATCAGAACCTGCAGAAGAGGCGCGAATTCATCCATCCTGAGAACTACCTCTCACCAGAATGCTACAAAAAAAAAAAAAAAAAAAAAAAATTCCAATCTGAAAACTCAACCCCTCAACCTGCAGCTCAACAACTGAAGTCTATTCCTGAAATCACACTAGTAGCTATATAACTGGCTTCGCTGCCGACCTTAAAAATTTGATCACAATAGTAACAACAGTGACAACAACAAGAACAACAACAGTAAACTACTAGGTCTAAAACAGTTTAAGATAACCACAAAACATCTTATATTAAACTTTTACAAATCTGCTTTGTTGATTCGTATGTATAAATGCATAAAGGTAAGAGATTGACAGTGCCCTCTGGTTCCTGCTTAGCATCCCTGGTCAGTGCAATGAATTGGCCAACATTAGCAAAGGAGACCTTAAAAATCAAAATTAAGTTGGTTCCAGGTTCCTTGAAAACAAATTTAAAAATGTCCAGCAGTGTCATAACCCTTCTTAAAAACCAGGCCCAAAAGTTTTAAAAATTGGATACCACTTTTCACACAGAAAGCAAGACTGATAAAAACATACTGTGTTTAATGCCTTCAGCTTTTTAAACAGGTCCCAATGCTGAACCAGTCACAGGCCAGACCATGGTTGCTACTGCTACACATCAGTCCTGGCTTCAGTTACTACTTGAAATGGACTCTGGGATTCAAGGATGTTTAGAGGCACAAGAAAGCAGCCGTCTCCCAAAGGTGCAAATCCCTATCCAGCCTGTGCTAGCAGCAGGCTAACACAACCACTCTAAATGTAATAAAGCATTTCATTTAATAAGTGACCCAGGACTGCTACAAATACCCACACGTGCCTCTATGAGGCCTGTTTAAGTCATATGTCTCAAAGTTGCTCTATAGATGTAAATATATGCTTATATGTACTGTATGTGTGAATATAAAAAACAACAAATCTGAGGCATTTACAGCAGTTATCTCCTTGATTTCCCTTTACAATTCAGTGGCCTGCCATGAAACACACACACACAAACACTCTCATACAGCAGTAAATGTATATACAGAGATGCACGCACACACACACAGACTTGCGTATTCTTCGCTAAGATGGGAGGAAAGTCGCAATGGGTATGGACACCCAGGTCACCTCGCTTGTAAAAGACCGAAAAAGGAGAAAAAGTTAAAACACACGCTCATAAAAAGGAAAATATATATAGATATAGATATCATTCTCAAAAGGTCAACCCCCCTCCATCTCTGTTCATGTAGAGCTCCCTCCCCACCACCCGATAAACCCAAGACCTTGTGACAGATTTTGCCCAAAAGGGCTTTGAGGTAAAAGTAGATAAGAGTCCTGCTTAGCTGGGAGAGCTAAAGAGCTGTGCGGGCACAGTTTGCGCCTGCCCACTCTCTCGCTCAGTGTATCTTACAAACACATGAGTACAGACATTCAAATAGAAAAAACAAAAACAAACGCAAAATAATGGCTCAACTCGTAGATGTGTGTATGGTTTGTTTTTGTTTTTTCGTTTTTCTCTTTTGTGCATTGTAAACCCCTGTGGGTTCGCAGTGCTGGATTGCTGGTTAAAAGGGCGGCTCGATTGGGAACGCTGGTTGGAAATTGTTCCATGAAACAGAGCCTGCTGGACGTTGGGATGTAGATGAATCCCCCTCCACGAGCCGCTTTGGTGCAGATTCAGAAAATGTAGAGTGAGTATGAAGAAAAGACTACAAGGAGAGAGGGAAGGAGGAAAACAGGGAATGGGGCAGATGGATTTAAAAAGAAAAAAATATATATATGGGGTAGATCCACAAGTGGACTGGCTGACAGGCTAGTTCAGGCAAAGTACATGGTGTGCTGGGTATCATAGTGGATTTGAACTGCCTTTGCCAATGCCTGGGGGTCTCGGCCATTACTCTGGCCTGAGACGTGGCTGCCTTCGGCGCTGCAAGACAAAAAAGTAGTGTCAGTACGGTTTTCCTTTCTGTACCATCAATACCGATTAGAAAGACATTTAATAATTTAGCTTTTAGGTGCTTTAGAGTTTTAAACTAATAGGTTAAAGTGAGTTGATGCACAGACTTCTATATTAAAAACCAATAAAAAAAAGTTTTACATTAGAACTTAAACAATGTGGTTAATTTGAAAGGTTTTAGAAACATCTTAAACACTCATTTATGTTTTATCTGATAATGACATTGTTGTAGTTACATACGAGGCTCCCTTACCTGTCATGGTCTTTGTCCACCAGGTGGTAGCGGGCTCGGAAAGCCACCAACCTGGCATAGTAGGCTGGGGCCGGGATGGAAACTGAGCGTGTGCAGCGAACATAGGTGTGACACAGCTGGTAGGTAAGGAGCTGCAGTTCATCGGCCGTGAAACAGTTGTCATCCCACAAGACGTGGTAGTGGGAGGGGCGACTGGTTCCCTGAAAGAGAAAGCAATGCAACAATGTCAATACTGCATTACAACTTCATGAAATGACTTCCTGCTCTATTCCAGCTCACTCACAACCGCAGATTTGCCTGGAATCTGTTTGTTGCTCTAATCTTTGTCCACCCTCCCAATGCTCTGGAAGCTATTCCACTGCAAAAAGTTAATAACCTGGACACAAATTTCACTCATTTTCCTTTATTATCATGTAAGCTCACCTGGATCCCAGCATGGCTGCACAGGTAGAAATCAAATTCGGACGGGTGTGTGATGGTGCTGTCCACTGTGGTGCCAGCTGGAACGTTACCACTCTTCCCAACCTGCAAGGGGTAATAAAGTCAGACTTAGGGAACAGATTGACCAATAGATATCCCTTAAATGCACACATCTGGGTAAACTGCTAACCCTCTCAGCTTTGTCAGAGCAGAAGAGACGAGTATGGTGACGTTTCTGGACCACAATGTAGGTAATGCCAGGCCTGTAATCCTCCTCCAGACTGATGCAGGCCTTCCTGATGGCTATCAGCTCGGGCCATGCTACCTGAAATACCAAAAATAATTTAATGAATTTACACAAAACTCAAAGGCGTTTGATTTTACATATCATTCTGTTAGCTTTATGGTTTGTAATTTCTACATGCTGCCAGTATTACCTGTTTCATTTGTCCCTCTGATACACCACCACGATAATAGATGATGCGTGTGGGCTTGAAGCGTGTCGACTTGTAAAACTGGATTAGCAGTTCTCTGACCATGTTGGTAAGGTCTTGGATAACTTCCTGGCTGAAGAGCTGCTCCTGAAGATGCAAAACAAATCTGGAGTTAGTACAGGAAAGTATTAAAAAGTGAGCAAACTTTGGTTTAATGGAGGTGAGCTGGGTCATACTGAGGTAAAACATTAGATCTGTTTTATAAAGACCATCTGTGTCAGTTTCAAGCACATCTGTAGTTACCTGGGACATGTCTTGTCGAGACGTCTGGACTCGCACCGTGGCGCAGTACCGGCTTGGGTGGCCATCCATGCTTCCCACCACTGCTGCGATGGATGGTTTTTTCCCGTCACCCGCTGGAGGATGTGTGACATCAGCACCCAGGAAGATGACAGGCTGCTGGAACACAGAGGGCCTGAAAAAAACAAAAAAAACCCAAAACAAATAGGAGTATGCGTCATTTTTAATTTCATACTGCATAAACAGCACTAATACTGTAACAGTATAATTAATAATCCTCACATGTTTGCAAAAAAAAAAAAAAAAAAAAAAAAAAAATCTCTGTCCCACATGATTACCAAGGAAGATTTCATTTTCCAGAGAACATTTAAACAATCTTCACCATTCAAGAGAAGAAATTGCATCTCTGTGGCCAAATTAGAATTCTTTCTGACCTCTGATGAGGCACCAAGACATTGTTGATGCCTCCTAGCTTGGCGTTAATCTTGAGGCAGAGGTTGGAGAGGGTCTGAGGGGAAGTCTTCACCACGTTCTTCACTTGCACGCACTGAGTGGCCATACCGAGGAGGGTGTCTCCCACCCGCTTTACCTCAGCTGCACAAGACAACCAACATGACCAAGATTACAGTCACAATATTGTTTAATCCATATAAGAAAGAAGAAAATAAAAATGAAGAAAAGTTCCTTACCGTAGACCGGTGTTTTGCCAGGAAGGATGACCACAATCAGCTGCAGACCAACGTAAGACATCTTAAGGTGTTTAAACATGGGCTCCACGCTATCAGCTCCTTGGGCATATTTACAGAAACAAGGCTGGCCTTGAATGGGCATCCCAGCATCCTTTGAAATTTTTCGCAGCTGGTCAGTGAAGCTCCTGTTAAAACCCCAGAGTTTATTATAAATCAGTCCCTTATCCAATTCAAGGTCGTGGGCAATTCCCATCTACTGCTGTGAAAAACCGCTTGCATATAAATATTCCCGATTTGTAGTTTAGAGTTAGTAGTAATGCCAACATGTTATATCAATGATCGTTAACATCATATAGACATACAAAGCTTTAAAATCGTTGCACTCTTCAGAATCTGGGTTTTCTCATGCTGCACTTAAACAGTGATGATGCCGTTGGGGGGGGGGGGATTTGAGCAGCTTAGTCTAAAGAGTTGGAGTATTAAAAGTGAGTTCTCATTTACAGAACTTAGTTTCATATTTTTGTGCACAGAATTAAATCCAGACATTTCACTGTAACACTGAGTGTTTAGTATAAGCGTAAATGTTAGATATTTCTTTAAAATGTTGCACTAACAGCTGTTAAAAGCTTACTTGAGCAGGTCCTCACGACATTGTTTTTGTGGAGCGAAGCAGGCCACAGCCCAGACCTTGATCTCTATGCCAGCGTAGAACTGCTTGCCCCTCATGTCCCACACGCCCTGATTGGGCGTCGCCACTGTTTTATTCTGCGGAGAGAGCCCCTACACTCTTAGTCAACCCTGCAGTTGGATGAGCCAATACAAAAGCTGCAACAATTACAAGCAAACAAAGCATTAACCCTCTGAAGTCCAATCATCCTTAAGGTTAACACTAACCCTACGTTGAAGAGGGGAAAAAATAAAAAATAAAAATAAAAAAATAGGACTTTGTTTTGTAAAAATGTGTAAAAAAAGTTTGTGTGTATGAGAATTTTGTCCACTGGTTGCCAAAACATGTGAAAACATTTTTTTTAATCCAAAAATGTAAAAATGAGATAGGGTTAGAGTTATATGCACACTGACCACTCAAAAAATAAGGGAACACTTCAAAATTACACATTGGCACTCAAATGACATTTCAGAGCCAAAATCTTTCACTGTGTAAGTTGTTGAGAACATGAGGATGTAACAGTCAGTGAAAAATATAATTTATTCCCTTTAAGGGCTTAGATCAAATTTAAGATTTTCAAAGTGTTCCCTTAATTTTCTTTATCCACATCCTTTGACCTCAGAGGGTTAACACACAGCTGAACATGCCTGTAAACACTGTACATTGGCTAGGAACACTGTACAAGTGTTAAAAGGCTTAAATGTTTGATACCTCAATACCAGTTTTACCATTGCTTATAGAGGGGGGAAAAAAAAAAAAAAAGAAAAAAAAGAAAAAAAAAGTGTTAACTCATGACATTTATTTTGGCATCACCAGACTTGTGTAAGAAAAAAAAAAAAAAAAAGTCTCAGTTTTGAAGGCTGCAGTCAACCGAACAAAGTCCTGGCCGACTGAAGTATACCTACTCTTCAACCAAGTGTTTGGGGCAGTGGGTGTGGTGGGATACGCTTTACCTCTACATTTAGTAAGTCTGCCACAGCTGCTTGCATTTTATCCTAAATGAATTTGAAACAGACATAGAAAGTCATTATTTGCAACATATTCACTCTGTAATGGTTCACTTTTAGCTAAAATCTGGGAAACTGTCAGTTTAGATGGGAGCAGGAAGCCCATCCAAATTGGTCTGGGTCCATCCTTGCTGCCTCTGACAGATGATGGGACTGTTGAAACAGTGGCCAAGTACAGATACATAGTTAAATATCTTCCTTCTTTTATGCTAAAGCTCAATGCGTTAAAGGCAAATGTTGAGACACTGTAGTACAGACTAGTTAACCATTTCTAAAGATATCATGCTGTTGAGCTGTGACATGCAAATTACTGACAAATTTAATGAGTTTAACTTAATGTGGCTACAACTGTAACAACATCAGTTGGTTTGCTGCCAATTCTGAGTACAAGTTCAACAAGTTGATTCACCAATTAAAGCTAGCAGTATCTAGGTTTGCCTTGAAGTCACCAGGGCTGGGTGAGTCCATAGTTGTGGTGTGGGGGGTGTTTCCGAGGTAGATTGTTACCCTGCTGCCAAAATAATGACTTCGTCCCTCAAAGGCTAGTGCCAATTTGGTCAGTCATGTAAACGTATTGCGCGCAAAAAAATATAAATAGATTTAAAAAAAAAAAATTAAAAAAAATCTGAACTTTTGATTCTTTTTAAATTGCCAAGAAATAACCGGTTTTCTTATATTGCTTCATGTCAGGGGTCCTAATGAGTAATATGAGTATAATGAGTATTGCATCCACTTAAAGAGACACCGAGCACTTCCAGTTTCAGTTGGGTTGCGACTGGAAATTCAAAGGGAAGCTTTCAATTAAGTTAATAAGATTTGCCAAAGGCCATTAGGAGCTTTGTTCTTCAAACTGAGTGGCCACATGGAACTTCAGTCGAATGCCAAAAGTTTAGTGGTTCTCCATCTCTTTTCAACACAACCTGAAAAATGTATTTAAAAAAAAAAAAAAAAAAAAAA